CCCCCCCCCCCAGCGCTCTGGCTTACTGTCTGAATATGGGGGGAACCCCCTGATCTCCGCGAAAGTGTGTTCCAGCCTTGAGGAAGGACCCCTTTTACTCAGTGTGAAGGAACTGACCCACAGGAAGACAGGTGCTTGTGTGTGGTCTCACTGAATCATCTCGGCCCTCTGGAGAAGTGGGCCTGCCCTCCCACCAGGCCAGTCCCTGTGGGCATCTGCTAACTGCTACGCCTCCACTCAGCTCCCAGTTGGGCAGCCTGCCCCCGGCCCAGCAGAGGCCTTGACACCCTAACCTGCCAGTGACAGCCTCTGGATGGTCATTTGGTTCTGTCGTGAGAATGTGTCACTGCCCGGTGAGCACCATCCTCAGTGTCCCATCCCCCACTCCCTTCCGCACCCCTTCGCACCCCCTCCGGGTCAGACTTCACCCAGCCTTCATCGCACAGGTCCCCTGCTGGCTGGACCTTCCTTTCCAACACCACCACCGCTATCCCCAGTCAGTGTCTGGTGCTGAGACTGCCTCTTGCCGCAGGCACTTAAGTGCATCCTGAGTTGAGTGCTACAGTGGACCCAGGTGAAAGCTGAGAGTATGGGAAAATGGAGCAGTGCCTCCTTATTCCCATTTCCTTCTGTTCCCCACCGACTTGACTTCCCTCTGGCTTGGTCATGGTGTGTATTAAGGGGTGGGCCCCAGTGCTCTTGGGATGCTGTGCCTGAGACCTTGAGTGTGTGTGTCTCACACTGTCCTCTGATGGTAGGCTCGTGTGGTGTCTGTCATATTATGCTCACAGGTGTCTCAGGATGGCTATGTTTTGTTTTGTTTTGTTTTGTTTTTACAAACATTTTTGATAGTTTATTTATTTTGAGAGCGAGAGAGAGCAGGAGAGGGGCAGAGGGAGACAGAATCCCAGGCAGGCTCTGCGCTGTCAGCACAGAGCCCCATGCAGGACTTGAACTCATGAACTGTGAGATCATGACCTGAGTCAAAATCAAGAGTTGGATGCGTAACTGACTGAGTCAACCCAGGCGCCCTGAAGATGGCTATTAACTAAGTGATGGGATTGGACTTTAAAGAAGGCCAATGTGTGGATGGAGTTGATGTGTGTGTGAGCATCTGCATTTGCCCCCGCTGGGAGTCCATGTGTGTAACAGATTTATGTGGATGTCACATGTGAGTGTCTCCGAAAGTGTGTGGAGAGTTGTCTGTTACAGAGGAGGGTGTGGGTGTGGGTGTGTATGCTACATCTAGCCCCAGTGTTTACGGGGCTCTGTCAGTAAGCTCTGTAAACTGGCATGTCTGAGGTCTGTGTGTTTGGGAGGGGGTGGGTATACAGAGCTGTGTGGGTGTTGTCTGTGGTGGAGGGTGGGGGTGAGAGAAGAGAGGGAAGGACCTACAGCAATGTCCAGGTCTCTGCTTTGTAATTGGTTGAAATGGGGTGGGGTGGGGTGAGGTTAGGGGTAAGTCTTCTGGGCCTGTTCTTCATGAGTCTGACCCAGTGGAGAGAAATGAGGTGATTGGAGTGTTGGAGGGGTTGGATTGCCTCAGACATCTGTGTGTTTCTCTGCTTGGCTCTGTGCCCTGTGCTTCTGAGCCCGCTCTATTTACCTCTTGCTTTGTGTTTCTCGCCCCGTCTCCCCCTGCCTCCTATCCTATGCCTGTCTTTGTATCTTTGCCCGGGGCTCCTCTAGCTCCGTCTGGCTCTGATGACTCATCTGGGATAGGCATGAAGGTTACCCACGGGAACAAGGGCCCCGCTGTTCCCGAGAGAGGTGGGGGTGGAGAGCGGCACCCAGGAATTCCAGGCCAGCCGCCTGGGACCTTGTAGCCTGCTCCCCTGCACGTGGCTCCTGGACCTCCAAGGGACCAGGTGTGATGCCTCTGGCTCTAGCTCTTCTTTGATGCCTGGGTGCCCCCCGCAACTCAGTCAGCCCCCTCAGCTGCTGCTTCAGAGCTGTGGGGTCTCAGCTGCCTCTTACATTCCTGCCCTAGAGCATTATGGGAGCAGCTGGAGGAGGACAAAGGGATGGGGGAGTGTCCCCCCACTCTTCCTACCTCCTGGGGTGACCTGGCCTCCCTGTCTTTAGACCCGCCCTCATCTCCAAGGCAACGCAGGCCTTTCCTAGCTCTGGGCTTTTCCTTCAGAAGCAGCCACCTTCAGAAAGTGCGACCTTGGGGGACAGGATGTCTGGGTCTTAGGAAGGGAAGACAGAGCAGGGAGAGCTGGAATGGGATGCTTTGGAACTGATGGCAGATATGGCACTAGGGGTCTCGGGATTCCAGGACCTGGAGAACTCAGTGCAGTCCTCCAGGAAGAGGAGAGGTCAGAACAGTTTTTCCTGCCGCTGGGGCTGGGGAGGGTACATACCTGGATTCACAAGGAGATGCCAATTGGAATGGTTTTAGGCCACGCTTGCCACCTGGGCCCTGGTGAAGAAGAGCAGGGATTCTCAAACTTTGATGGGCACAGATCACCTGGGGATTGTATTAAAATGAAGATTCTTTTTCTTTCCTCCAATTTTTTATTTAAATTCTAGTTATAGTTAACACATAGTGTAATTTTGGTTTCACGAGTAAAATTTAGTGATTCATCACTTACATATAGCACCCGGTGCTCATCATTACAAGTGCCCTCCCTTAATGTCCATCACCCATCCTGCCCATCCCTCCCCCACCCCCATCTCCCTCCATCAACCCTCAGTTTGTTTTCTATCATTAAAGTCTCTTTTGGTTTGCTTCCCTCCCTCTTTTTTCCACTTCCCATATGTTCATCTATTTTGTTTCCTAAATTCTGCCAGTTTGCCTTCCTACCAACAATGTAAGAGGGTTCCCCTTTCTCCAAAATGCAGATTCTGATTCAGCAGATCTAGGGTAGGGGTGAGGTTCTGCCTTTCTCCTAAGATGCTGGTCCAGGGATTACACTGGGCTTAGTGCGGCTACAGAAGACAGTGAGATTGGAAGGCACTGGGGTCCCCCACTTCTCTTAGAATTCTGAGCTCCTAGGTGGAGAGGAGACCAGAGTTTAGGCCAGTGTTTGGCACATGGGAAGCATTCTAAAAATATAGCTGATGCTCTTAAACAATGACTGCTTTGTCACTTTCCTCCTATTATTCCCAAAGCAGCCCATTCTGTCTGTTGTTGGCTGTTGTGACTCTGTCTGTTGTGACTCAGTCTCCTTGATTGCCCTTTAACTTACCCTACTACTTACCACTTGTTTTGTCCCCTGCAGAGATGCTGCCTCCACCCCCTTAGGCCTGAGGAGTCAGGAGCTATGGGGCCAGGGGCCCTCTCATCTCTACTGCTGCTGTCGCTTCTCTTAGTGGCAACTGGAGATGCTGACATGAAAGGACATTTTGATCCTGGTAAGGAGACTGGCTCCTGGGTCCCTGAGGATGGGGCTTTGGGAGACAGAGTTCAGGGACCTTGACCCTCCGTGTGCCTGTGTTCACACAGCCAAGTGCCGCTATGCCCTGGGCATGCAGGACAGGACCATTCCAGATGGGGACATCTCTGCCTCCAGCTCCTGGTCAGACTCTACTGCTGCTCGCCACAGCAGGTACCTGGAACCTCTGGGACTGCTCTGGAGGAACTTTCTGGGGCCTCTACTTGCCCTTCCAACTCCTCTGCCCATGCCAAGAGGCTTCTGGGAGGGCAAATGCCAATGAACTTCCCCACCCCCAATGCTGGGGGAGCTATAAATACGAGAGACAGAGACAGACCAGATGTTCCTTGTGATCTCTTGCCCCGTCCCAGGCTGGAGAGCAGCGACGGGGATGGGGCATGGTGTCCTGCAGGGCCTGTCTTTCCAAAGGAAGAGGAGTACCTGCAGGTGGATCTGCGGAGGCTGCACCTGGTAGCTTTGGTGGGCACCCAGGGGCGTCATGCTGGAGGCCTGGGCAAAGAGTTCTCCCCCAGCTACCGGCTACGTTACTCCCGAGATGGCCACCGCTGGATGGACTGGAGGGATCGCTGGGGTCAGGAGGTAAGGCTGGCAGGGGCAGCTCCCAGGAAAGGCTGGTTCTCCTCTCTTCCCCACTTTAAATGCCACCTGTCCACTGATGACTCTCCCAATTTATACCCTCTCTAGCCCAAGACTTTCCCTTGAGCTGCATCTAGTGTTGCAAACCTGACCACCTTCTAGGCCTTTCCACCTGGATGTCTAATGGGTTCTCAAACCTACCATAAATTTCCCTAGTTGAACTTGAATCCCATTCCCACCCCACAACTGCTCCTCTCCTAGCTCAGGCCAGTTGCTCAGGCCATAAGCTAAGATACCGCTCATTTCTCTGGTCTCTCACCTGCTAATTCCAAAGCACCAGCAAGGCCAGTCTGTTCTACCTCCATGATATTTCCTAAATCCAACCACTTGTCACCGCCTCTACCTCTACCACCCTAGGCCCTGCTCACACCATCCCCAGCTTAGATGAACACACTGGTCTCTGAACTGTTTTCCTGGCTCCTTTCTGTTTCCACCTGAAATCATATCTCCACCTAGTGGCTACAGACACTCTACCTGAGAAAATGCAAATCAGATGAGGCGTACTTGGCTTATAGCCCTCCCCTGGCTTTCCGCTCTGCCAGAACAAAAGCTGAGTTCCGTCCTGGGTGCAGAAGCTTAGCTTGCCCTGGCTCTTGCCTGTATCCCTTACTTCTCTTTCCTGTTCTTGTTCCACCTGGGCCCACTGGTTTTCTTGCTGTTCCTGGAACAAGCAAGGGTTTGTCCCACAGCCTCAGGACATTTTTGCATGCTATTCTCTGTGCCTGGAAAGCTTCTCCCCCAGATCCTCAGCTTCTCCTTCCACTCAGTTCTCCTCGAAATATCACCTCCTCAGAGAGCCCACCTCCCCCTACTCCAGCTCCACACCCTGCCTCTTGTTCTTCACAGCTGTTTTTCCTACTGGAATCTCAGTACTGCAAGGGGAGAGGGGAGGGATGGATGTTTACCACTGAGAACTTACATAGCTGGCACAGAGTAGGCACTCAACCAGTGCCTGCTGAGTGAACAGAGAGAATAGGGTAAAGGTGGGGGGGAGCCAAAGCAGGGGTGCAGAGCTGTGAGGGACTGGATAGAATCTGTGCACAGCGGGATGGGTGGCTTAGAGACAAATGGAGACAAAGAGTCGAGGCTGACACTGGTGGTAGAGGACAGACTGTCAGGTTGAGAGATGTGTCAGAGATCTTTGCTGTGGCCCCTTGTTTTACACATGCCTGGCTGTACCCCATATCCCTGTATGCTTAACACCACCCTTCATGAATCTCTCTGGCCACTGTGTGCTGGGCCAGGGAACAGCTGGTGACTGGGAAGTTAGATCCAACCTGTAGCCTTCCCACTCATGCACGCTGTTTCCTGGGCAACAGGTGATTTTAGGTAATGAGGACCCTGGGGGAGTGGTACTGAAGGACCTTGGACCCCCCATGGTGGCCCGACTGGTTCGCTTCTACCCCCGGGCTGACCGGGTCATGAGTGTCTGTCTGCGGGTGGAGCTCTATGGCTGCCTCTGGAAGGGTGAGTCATTCAGACCTCCAAGAATTCATTTCCTGGCCTGGGGCCTGGGGAGTGAGGCCTGGGGAGAAGGGCATCCAGGATCCTCTTTCTCTTGTTGGGAAGCTGTCACTCTGAGTGAGGAAGGGCCTGGCCAACATTGCCTCCTCCATGCTGGTGGGCCTGTGGAAGGACGCAAGAAGGGGAATGACGCAGGGGAGGTGGCCGGAGGCTTCCTGCCTCTAACACCTCTTCTCCTACCCTGCCCCAGATGGACTCCTGTCTTACACAGCCCCTGTGGGGCAGACGATGTACTTATCTGAGGCAGTGCACCTCAATGACTCCACCTACGATGGACATACCACACACGCTGTTGGCGGGTAAATGAGGCAGGCCCTGCGGGGCATGAGCCTATGTGCTGGAGGGAGGATGCAGTGGATGTGTTAAGGAGTCTGGGCAGTGAGATGGAAGAAGTGGGGAAAGGGTTAGGTGGGGCCTTGGGGACACAGGATCAGGATTGAGGGTAGCAAGGCAACTACTAGCTCATGTGACACTTTGTGGGAATTAGAAAAAGGCAACCCTTTGCTAATACACATCTGTTGGAAACTGTCACAGTAAATTCACACAACGTAGGTTGAATGGTGCCTCCGAGAGATGGTGCCTTCCTGCAGCTTATAGCTGCAAAGTACCTTGACAATCCTGGGGGTGGGAAAGAGACAACCACAGGAAGGAAGTTGGGGCAGGAGGTAGGGGCTGGTCCAGACTGGCTGGGGTTGGGGTTGCAGAGCACTTAAATGGGTGGCACTCTCTTCTCTCCCACCCTCCTCTTCCTTGGCTCCCCTGCTCTCCAGGTTGCTGTATGGAGGTCTGGGTCAGCTGGCAGATGGTGTGGTGGGGCTGGATGACTTTAGGAAGAGCCAGGAGCTGCGGGTCTGGCCAGGCTACGATTATGTGGGATGGAGCAACCACAGCTTCCCAGGTGGCTACGTGGAGATGGAGTTTGAGTTTGACCGACTGAGGGCTTTCCAGGCCATGCAGGTAAGTGCGTGTGGCTCTTAGGCAAGGTTATGAGACCAGGGTGGTTGCCCCTGGGGTGCTTGCCCAGGCTCTCCTGGCTTTGACCCTGTGTCCCTCCTCCCTTCCCCCCAGGTCCACTGTAACAACATGCACACCCTGGGAGCCCGCCTGCCTGGTGGGGTGGAATGTCGCTTCAAGCGGGGCCCTGCCATGGCCTGGGAGGGGGAGCCTGTGCGCCACGCCCTGGGGGGCAGCCTGGGGGACCCCAGAGCCCGGGCTGTGTCAGTGCCCCTGGGCGGCCGCGTGGGCCGCTTTCTGCAGTGCCGCTTCCTCTTTGCTGGGCCTTGGTTACTCTTCAGCGAAATCTCCTTCATCTCCGGTAAGCCTCTGGTCTATGCCCAATCCTCAACCTCTGGGATCGCCAACCCGCAGTACCCACTCCTGGCACCAAAGTATCCACTCCTGGCACCATGTTTATGTAGCACTCATGAGACTTTGCAAGCAGGATGCTCCAAATAATTTGAACACCTCCCTACCCCTTCCTCCCATCTCTGTCTTTTACTTTATGAGCCCTTCACTCATGACTGATATTGAGCAAGTAAGACAGTGTTGGCTGTAAAAATACTGAAGTACTCTGTGCTGGTTAAGAAATAACCTCTTCTCCAGGCTTCCTTATACCCAGCTTGGGCCTCTCTCTGGGAGTCCTGCCTCTCCCCATAATCCAGCACCTAAAAAGTTGACATCCACAACAGCCAGGCCCCTCCCATTCTAATTGGTTGGTACATATACCCAGTGTCAGCCCTGCTCCTGGAAGTAGAATTCCCTAGGTCTCATGCAAGTAGCTTTTCTTTGGTCCGTCTTCCCTATCTGACTTCTTCCTTTCTTCTCTTCCTTCTTTGCAGATGTTGTGAATGACTCCTCTCCAACTTTGGGGGGCACCTTCCCACCAGCCCCCTGGTGGCCACCTGGCCCACCTCCCACGAACTTCAGCAGCTTGGGTGAGCAGCCCTGGGGCGTCCTCCTGGACAAGTGTATTCTGGGCTACTATCCCTCCATGCCCCGCCCCCAACTTGGGTAGGAAGTGGTTCTGACTCTCCAGTGTTTCTGATTCTCTGTCTCTGCCAGAGCTGGAGCCCAGGGGCCAGCAACCTGTGGCCAAGGCTGAGGGGAGCCCAACTGCCATCCTCATTGGCTGTTTGGTGGCCATCATCTTGCTGCTGCTGCTCATCATTGCCCTCATGCTGTGGCGGCTGCACTGGCGCAGACTCCTCAGCAAGGTGGGCAGAGCGAGGGCAGGGCCCGAGCTACAGGGGGGGTGGGTGTGGGTAGGAGGAGTTGGGGGGTATAGCCTGGAGAGGACAGACAGGGTGTGGGTGTGGAGAGTGAGGCCAGGCTGAGGCCAATGTGTGTGGGGAATCCTGATTAGTTTGGGTCCTGCAGGGACCACAGAACATTGTCTAATTAGAATAATTAGAGGTGGACTTAGTAAAGAGATAGGTTATAGAGGAGTGGGCAGATGTATGAAAATTAGAGGGAGTAGTGCAATTTCCACAGATCTGTTACCACCCATAGGCCTGGAAGATGAGAGGAGGGCAGTTGCTGGAAACTGGAGGAGTGAGTCTGGGGAAAGGGCTCCTTGAGAGGGGCAGTGGACTTTGCTTCAGGGACACAGCTAGCCTAAGTACACCTCTCAGGGAGAGGCTGGGAGCATAATCACCCTGACCTCACTTCTCGCCTGCCCAACAAATTCCTCTTGGGCCAACCCAAACCAAGCCTGTTGATACAGTCCACACTGGTCCACCTTCTGGGGTAGAAGCTGGATGGGAAAGGTGGAGAGTGGAGCTAGAGAGGCAGGGAGGAGCTAGAGGAAGAAGCCTGGCACACTCTGAGCCCATGTCTTCCTGGCAAGAATCAGTGGTGGTGATATGCATGAAGGTTGAATGATTCCATAATTATCTGGTCAGATTTGGGTTGGAATCCCAGAATGGTACATCAGGGGACTCACTCGTATGCTCTTGAACCTCTGTTTCTTTACCTGTGAAATAGAGTTAATAGTAGATACAACTGTGGGACTGTCGTGAGGACTGAAGGGGAGAAGGTGGGCATGGCATTTAACTAGCTGGAATCATGCACTAAACAGTAGCCACAGTTAACCTTCCCATTCCCATGACAAGGCTGAGCGCCGGGTATTAGAAGAGGAGCTGACAGTTCATCTGTCTGTCCCTGGGGACACCATCCTCATCAACAACCGCCCAGGCCCTCTTGAACCACCCCCTTACCAGGAGCCCCGGCCTCGTGGGAATCCGCCCCACTCTGCTCCCAGTGTTCCCAACGGCTCTGGTAAGACCTGCTTTGTTCTAGTCCCACCACCATCCTCTGCCTGTTTTCTTATGGTATCCCTTTTCCTCTCTGTTCCCATTCCCTTTTCCTGTCTTCTCCAGATTCAACTCATTTTCTTATTTCTGTGCCCCTGGTCACCACACTCTGTGTCACTCCATGTCCCTACCATATAATCTTTCTTAAGAGTTTTTTATGTATTACCCATAATCCCTAGTGGCCTTATCCTGTCTCAGTGTCCCATACACATCTCTCTTCTCTATTGTTCCCTCTCATTATGTCTTCCTGGTCCCTCTCCTTTCTCCTAGATTCACTGCATTCATTCTGTCCGTCTGTCCGTCCATTATCCATCCTTCTATCTGAATTCATACATTCATCCATCTATCTGTCCATCTTTCTGTCTATCCACCATTTGAACATTTGTCTATCATCCATCCATCTATCAATAAATATTCACACATCTATTCATCCATCCATCATCCATTCAACCACCCATCCATCCTCTGTCTATCCATCTATTCATCCATTATCAATCCATGTTCATCTATCCATTCACCTATTCATCCATCCATCCATCCACCATCTAGCCATTCATCCATCATCCACCTATTCATCTATTCATACAGATTCATCCAACTATTTGTTCATCTCTCCATGCATCCATCCATCTATCCATTCATCTATCACTCACCCATTCATCTACTCATATATATTCATCCACCCATTTGTTTATCTGCCCATCCATCCATCCATTCAACTATTTGTTTGTCATCCATGCATCTATCCACTGATCTATCCATTCCTTCATTCATTATTCATCCAGCTATCCAGCACCCTCCAGACCCTTGTTTTATCCTGTCCCTGTCTCTCAGTACATCCATCCCCATCAGCTCTGGTCTTGCCCTATTCCAGGTCTCCCTGTCTGTCTAGCCTTGAGTCTCATCCCTTCCCCGTGTCTCCCCCCCTTCCTTTTCCCGACAGCGTTGCTGCTCTCCAATCCAGCCTACCGCCTCCTTCTGGCCACTTACGCCCGTCCCCCTCGAGGCCCCGGCCCCCCCACACCCGCCTGGGCCAAACCCACCAACACCCAGGGTAAGCCCCTCTGCCCCTGGGCTTCTCCAGGCTCCCCATACCTCTACTGGGGCAGGGAAAAGTCCTCACATCTTGCACTCCCTCCTCTCCCTGCTGTGGCCTCTTCTGCTCTCCTGAGCTCCCAAGGAGGAAGCTCTTATGCCTTTAGCTCTGTGCTGTGCTTGCTCCTTCTTAAGGCCTTTCCCTTGAGCAGAGGAGCAGAAAGCTCAACGGTTCTCAGCTCTGTCCTCCTTTTCCTCTTCCACCCCATCTTTTTTGCTCTCCAGACCCAGAGAGGAGGTTGCTATGCTGACCCCAGGTTCTCTTGTAACTCCTTCTTTGTTTCCCCTCTCTCTAGAGGTGCCAGGAGGAGGGCCTCTCACCCTGGGTGCTTGCCCTCTCCCCCCATGTGTTCTCTCTCTGCAGTCCCAGAGGTGGAGGCTCACACCCTGCCTTTCCTGTCTGCTCCTCCTCTTCTTGATGTTGCCTTCTCATTGTTCCCCCCTCCCAGAGCTAAGGGAGGACAGCTCTGCTTCCTCTTCTTTGTCTGTAGTTTCCTTGTTGTGCTGGCTGTGAGGAACTGTTCTCCTCTCCTCCTTTCTGTGTGCCCCTGTCTCTGCTTGTCTTTGAGCTTGGGGTGTTGGGTTAGGGAGGGTTTGGGTAACCACGGCAGGGAGGAGCCAAGGCTGAAAGCAAGGGGGTGTGAGGTGGGTGGAACAGCTGTGAACAGGAGGGGCTGACAGTGAGTGGAACAAGGGTTTGGAAAGTAGGGGGTGACTGGATGACTGGCACCATCCTTCTTCCAGTGGTGGGTAGAGGAATTCCTCTTCCAGCCAAGAGTTACCTCATGGTCTCTTGGGCTGTGCTAGGATCCCTAGAGAATAGACTTTATGTCATTCTTTGTTCAACCATTTCTATTGCCTTAAACTCTGGAACAGCTAACTCTCATCTCATGCCAGCGTCTTCTCCGGTTTGAGGTTGGTGGGTAGAATACCAAGAAGATGGAGAGTAGACCCAACAGGGAGACAGGGGGCCTCTGGGAGCCTGCGGTGGAGAGCCATGGCTCTCAGGGGCTGCTCCTGATGCCTTGTCCTGTCTTCTTTCCCCTCAACTTTCCAGCCTGCAGTGGGGACTATATGGAGCCTGAGAAGCCGGGTGCCCCGCTTCTTCCCCCACCTCCCCAGAACAGCGTGCCCCATTATGCCGAGGCTGACATTGTCACCCTGCAGGGCGTCACTGGGGGCAACACCTATGCTGTGCCTGCACTGCCCCCAGGGGCTGCTGGGGATGGGCCCCCCAGAGTGGATTTCCCTCGGTCTCGGCTCCGCTTCAAGGAGAAGCTTGGCGAGGGCCAATTTGGGGAGGTAAGGAAGATCCCTGCCCAACTCTCAGTAGTGTCTCGACTATCTGGGACTCTGATGCCATGCCCATATGTCCCTCTTGGTTGGAATCTGTCAGCTGTGACTGTGTTATTCCAATTGACCCTGTGACCTCAGTGAACTGTGTGATTATCTAACAAATGAGCTTCTTTCCCCAGGTACATCTGTGTGAGGTAGAGAATCCTCAAGATCTGGTCAGTCTTGATTTCCCCATTAATGTGTGCAAGGGACACCCTTTGCTGGTAGCTGTCAAGATCTTAAGGCCAGATGCCACCAAGAATGCCAGGTGAGGAGCAGGCATGGTGTCTGGAGATAAGGAAGGGAGGCCATGAAGAGTGGGGAGTGATCTAGAGAACAACAGAGGGGGAGTGTCTGGGGAAAGAAGTTTCCATCTTAGGCTGATCTCAGCCCAGGTCTCAGTGCCACTAGTGAGTTAGCTTGTCTGCTGGGGTTAGGGTGCTGGTCTACATGAGCAGGAGAGATGGTGCAGGTCAGCCCCTCAGTGTCCCTGCCACCTACCTGCTTCTCTAGGAACGATTTCCTGAAGGAAGTGAAGATCATGTCGAGGCTAAAGGACCCAAATATCATCCGGCTCCTGGGCGTGTGTGTACAGGACGACCCTCTCTGCATGATTACTGATTACATGGAGAATGGTGACCTCAACCAGTTCCTCAGTGCCCACCAGCTAGAGGACAAGGCGACTGAGGGGCCCCCCGGGGATGGGGAGGCTGCCCAGGGGCCCACCATCAGGTACCCACTTACTTAGGCTGGCCCTTCCCTGAGAGCTCCCCAAGGCGGTCTCCTCTCCCCTCGTTCCAAACCAGAGGGAGAGAGGGGAGCATGGGATAGGGAGGCAGGTAGATGTTCAGGGGGGTGGGAGCTGGGATGAGGAACATGTGGCCATGTTCATCTGGGGACTGAGGAGCAAAAGGCCAAAGTTACTATCTTGTAGGTGGTGAGGGACTTGGGCTCTGTCAGGCATCCCCCCCCCGTTCTCTCACCCTTGTCTGAGTCCAGACAATAAAGCGTAGTTCCCTGGGTCATATGAACCAAACAAATGTTGAGTGGGCACCTACCCCTGGCCTCTACATGGGCATTCCATCTCTGCACCAGAAATAGATGTAACCCAGTCCCAGGGAGTGGGCTCCCCTTCCTCTCCTGGGAATCTGTGAGATGGGGATCAGTCTGGGGCTGCCCCAGTGACCTTCTGTTATTGGTTCCCTCCCTCAGCTACCCCATGCTGCTACACGTGGCAGCTCAGATTGCCTCGGGCATGCGCTATCTGGCCACCCTCAACTTTGTGCATCGGGACCTGGCCACAAGGAACTGCCTGGTTGGGGAAAATTTCACCATTAAAATCGCTGACTTTGGCATGAGCCGGAACCTCTACGCTGGGGACTATTACCGAGTACAGGGCCGGGCAGTGCTGCCCATCCGGTGGATGGCCTGGGAATGCATCCTCATGGTGAGAGGCCCTGAGAGAGGCATGCAGGGTGCAGGGGAGGGGAGGTGGGGGAAGACAGGGCATGGGGAGGCCAGGGGAGGAGAGCACAGGCTGCTCTGTGGTCTTGGTCAGTCACTTGCCTTCCTTGGACTGCAGATTCCTCCTCAATAAAGTGAGGGTTTGGGCCAGTGCTCTGTAAGGTTCTTTCTGGCTCTAGGGCCCAGAGAAAGTGGGGAGGAGTGGTATGATGGGAAAAGGTCCAGGAGCCAAAAGTGGGTACAAGAGCTGGAGTCAAGGTGGCAGAGAGCAAGAGAAGTAAGGAGAGACAGGAGGCTAGAGATAGAAAGGTGCGAGTTGGGAGAAAATTAGGACCAGAAAATGGGGGGGCAGGGTGGGGAGGGAGGGTGGGTAGAAAAGGAAAGAGGCGAAAGAGAGGACTAGAGCCTGAGAAAGAAGGCAGAGCCAGAAGGAGGGAGGAGCAGACTTGTTGGGAGAGGGGGCCAGGCAAGAGGGAGTCCTGCTGGGGTAAGTGCTAAGTGGACACGGGGCTCCCTGTGGGGAGAGGAGGAGGGTTTGTGTGGCCTGATGCCTTTGTCTGCCTTTGTTGCTTTATCCACGTACCAGGGGAAGTTCACGACTGCAAGTGATGTGTGGGCCTTTGGGGTGACCCTGTGGGAGGTGCTGATGCTCTGCCGGGCCCAGCCCTTTGGGCAGCTCACTGATGAGCAAGTCATCGAGAACGCAGGGGAGTTCTTCCGGGACCAGGGCCGGCAGGTCAGAACAGAGGAGAGGGTTGTGGGTCTGGGAGGGCCAGAGCCTGTCATCTTGGGGACTAAAGAACATTTGTTCCCTGCCTTTCATCCACCCCACCACAATGCAGGTGTACCTGTCTCGGCCCCCTGCCTGCCCACTAGGCCTGTATGAGCTGATGCTTCGGTGCTGGAGCCGGGAGCCTGAGCAGCGGCCACCCTTTTCCCAGCTACATAGGTTTCTGGCAGAAGATGCTCTCAACACAGTGTGAATCACACACCCAGCTGCCCCTTCCTCAGGGAGGATTCAGGTGAAGCCAGAGGCAATAAACAAGAGGATTTAACATCACCCCCACTCCATTCCCATTCCCGACCACCCTTCACCTCTGAGAGAGAGGCAATGTGACCATAGGTGGGCTGGGCCTGCCAGGGAGCTGATGCCTTCCCTTCCTCGGACACACTCTCATTTCCTCTTCCTGCTCCCCTCCTGGAAGCCTCGGCCACCCACCCAGCTGGCCCTGTGGATGGGATCCTCTCTGACCTCTTCTAGTCATCCCTGGGGGGGGAGGATGGGGGCAAATATAGGGCAGACACTGGATAAGGCCTATTGGAGCACCTGGGCCCCACTGGACAACACTGGTTCCTGGAGAGAAGGCTGTGGCCTCCCCAGCCTCTCTTTCCGTCGCACACTGGACCCCACTGGCTAATAATCTGGGGATGAGGAGGACAAGAAAGGGAGGATGTTCCCGTGTTGCCTTGTTCTTACTCCTGGAATTGTCCTTGGCTTTGGCTTCTCCCTCCTCTATCCTCTGAAACACTGGACCTGGGGGTGATTCCTGTCCCCCCCCCCCCCCCCCCCCCCAGCCATCCCTACTTCCCACCTGCTGTGTTGTAGCTAGAACTTCTCTCAGCCTGTATGTTTCTGTGGATTAAGTACTGGGATTAGGGGAAAAGAGGGAGCAAGGGCCTGTGGCCTTGGGGTTGGACATCTCTGTTGTAGCTGCCATATTGGTTTTTCTATAATCACTTGGGGTTTGTACATTTTTGGGGGGAGAGACACAGATTTTTACACTAATATATGGATCTAGCTCAATGCAATTTTAATATCCTGCACTAGGCAGGTAATAATAAAGGTTGAGTTTTCCACAGCTGTGAGTGGGTTTCTTGGGGTTTTGGTAAAATCTGCTTCCTGTATCCACTCCCAACTCATTTCCTTTCTTCTCCCTTTTTCTCCTTCTCCCCATTCCACTTCCTACTGTGTATTTTCCCAACACAGTGTTCTGTTGTCTATAAGCCAGGTTCTTGCCTCTGGGACCTCAGGTCCTACGTGAATGTATGAACCTTGTCAGCTCCATTGGGAGCTCTGCAGGAGGCTTGGAGGGGGGTGAATTAGGCCAGGGGTCTTAACCTTAACCCATGGAACCCTTTGACAGTGTAGAGAGGTCTGCTGATTCCTCCTGAGAATTATTTTAAAACCCATTACACAGGGACCCCTGGGTGGCTCAGTCTCTGTTAAGTGTCCAAGTCTTGGTTTTGGCTCAGGTCATGACCTCACGGTTTCCTGAGTGCAAGCTCCAGGTCAGGCTCTGTGCTGACAGTGCAGAGCCTGCTTGGGATTCTCTGTCTGTCTCTCTCTCTGCCCCTCCCCTATTCATGCTGTCTCTGTCTCTCTCAAAATAAATAAATAAACTTAAAAAGAAAAACATTATGGGGCGCCTGGGTGGCTCAGTCGGTTGAGCGTCTGACTTCAGCTTAGGTCATGATCTTGCTGTCCGTGAGTTCGAGCCCTGCGTCGGGCTCTGTGCTGACAGCTCGAAGCCTGGAGCCTGTTTCAGATTCTGTGTCTCTCTCTCTCTGCCCCTCCCCCACTCATGCTCTGTCTCTCTCTGTCGATAATAAATAAACATTAAAAAAACTACACACACGCCATATGTATCACATATATCTGAGATCAGATTGAGTTCACTAAAAGTAAAAAGACATTTTAACTGTTTAAAAAAACACAGTAACCTACATATTTCTTTTTTTTTTTTTTAATTTTTTTTTTCCAGATTTTTATTTTTTTTTTTTTATTTATGGGACAGACAGAGACGGAGGCAGCAGGAGGGCAGAGAAGGAGACCTAGAGGGCTGAAACTCCAGCTCAGGCTCATCAGCCAGAGGCGAGGAACTCAGGCTCATGAGACAGCAGACTCGTGACCTGGCTAGTCGGACAGCTCTTTCCATTCTCCTGTCTTAAATATATTTAATAGGGGCACCTGGGTGGCTCAGTTGGTTGAGCATCCGACTTCGGCTCAGCTCATGATCTCACAGCTCATGAGTTAGGAGCCCCAATAGAACTCTGTACCACACATCTCAGAGCCTGGGCCTGGGTTCTGTCTGTGTTTTTTTTTCCCTCTCTCTGCCCCTAACCCACTTTCCTACTGTCTCTGTCTCTCTCAAAAATAAATAAACATTAAAAAAAATTTTAAATATATTTAACAAGATCAACGCGATTGCCAAAGTAACTCTTAATGTCTCCAAATAGTAATAGGCATAAGAAATACTTGACACTGGGAGATTTCTATAAAGGTAGTGGGATATGAAAATAGATGTGGTGTCTTAGTGACAAGACCCAGGTCCTACTAATACTACTGAGGGTTTTGCTCATATTCATTCTTGGAGGGAGTGCCAAATTTCAGTTAGAGATTAATAAAAACAGAGGTGTAATTTTTTGGGGGGGGGGGGCCAATTCTAGGACTCCCTTCCAGGGTCTGGAAGTCCCAGGGGGAGAATCCTTGGATTAGGCTGATCAAATGTACAGATGACCTAATAGGTGTGAGCTCTTTGGATGGGAACTAGAATCAAGAGCCTAAATTATCTCAGAGGTTTGGAAGGATGAGCCACAACCACCGAGAGAGTATTTAACAGAGTTTAAATTGGTTGGGGGGAAAAAAATCACTTGCAAGTATTGGACAAGGCAGACCTATCTTGATGGAAGTTCCTGTGAAATAAAGACCCTGGAGTCTTTGTTGATGATATTCACAAAATGAGCCAAATGGGTAATGAAGATACCAATAACGATAGTTAAATCTTATGTTGAATTAATAGCCCCTTGGGATCCAGGTCACAGATTCTGCTGAAACCTATGAAGGTCCGAACACTGTGACCCATGTTTTAAGATATGCATTGATGGGTCGGGAGTTTAGAGGCCACAACCCAGCATGGTGAACAATGGAAGCCATAGCAATGAGCCGAGAACTCCAAAGCTCTAGGCCTATGCAACCACCTAGTGTTCATTTGAACTCGTCTTGGTGTGTTCAAAGCTGCTCCTTCATGGTTTCCTGACTCCGTGAATGGTAGCATCATCCACTCAGCTGCACAAGCCAAAAACCTGGGGAGCATCCTTGACACCCTTTTCCTCTACCCTCACCTCCCAAGTGCAGTCTATCATGAAGCTCTGTTGATCTTTCCAGATTTCCCTCAAATTTATTATTTCTATCTCCATCTCCATCCTGGCACACACTACCTCCATCTTGTTGGGACCACTGCAGTGGTCTCCCGGGGTTTGTTCTTGTTCTCTGATTTGTTTTCAGCCCTGCAGTCAGACATAAATCTGATCCCCACTACTTTATTTCAAATCCTTTAATGGCTCCTGTTGACCCTAGAATAAATAAAATCTTCTGACCAAGTTTGCCCTCTCCTTCCTTCAGCATCCTTCCCCACCCTGTCTTTTATGTATCACTGGCCTACTTTCAGTTCTTGTAAGTGGCCATAGTCCCTCCTGCCATGGCCTTTGTAGAATCTTGTTCCCCTGCCTGGAACATAGTTCCCTGCTGTCTTTGCCTTGTTAAGTCCTGCTTGTCCTTCGGCACTCTTCCCTGACTTGACCAACCAGATCAAATCCTCCTGATGCTCTCAGAACACACGACTTCTTTGTCATACTTACTACAGGTGTGATTTTTTTTTAAAAGAAAATAATAACCATAATATTTTCTGAGCACCTACTATGTGTCAGGACCATCCTTATTACATATATCTTTTTTAATACAACATATGAAATAGTTAAAATTATTGCCATTTCACAGAAAAGAAAACGTCTCTGTTCTAAGCAACTTGCCAAAGGCAGCACAGCCAGGAAGCTACAAAACTGGTAAGAAGCAGCCAGTGGGCCCCTGGCTCTGTGTTCTCTCTCCAGGATGCTGCCTGAGGGGAGGAGGTTGTGAACTCTCCATCACACTCTGGATAATCCTAAAAAGGAAAGTTCCTAGGAGCCCAGGCTGATTATCTTCCTAAAGGCCAGCTCCAGAAACTCAGCCTGTGCTCATTTCTTGACATCAGACAACTAGCCCCTATCCACTGCATCCCTTCAAGCAGGGCTCACCAAGAGAATCTGTGATCATAGACATAAATGGTCTCTAGATGCACCATCCAATAGGTAGCCAATAGCTACATGTGGCTATTTATTGAGTGCTTGAAATGGAGCTAATGTGACTGAGGAACTTAATATAAAATTTTTAGTTATGGGGCACCTGGGTGGCTCAGTCGGTTAAGTGTCCAACTTTGGCTTATGTCATGACCTCGTGGTTTGTGAATTCAAGCCCCAAATCCAGCTCTGTGCTGACAGCACAGAGCCTGGAGCCTGGTTTGGATTCTGTGTCTCCCTCTCTCTCCGCCCCTCCCCTGCTCCTGTCCTCTTTCTCTCAAAGTAAATAAACATTAAAAAAAATTAAAATTTTATTTTAGTTAACTTAAATTTAAATAGCCACAGGTGGCTAGTAGCTCCTGTTCTGGACAGGGTAGCCTTAAAGAGTTTTTGCTACACTGCAGGAAACTGTGACCTGGTCTGCCTAGCTTCCCCTTGCTTGCTCTTGTCAAAATGAAGCATATGACCTATTGCAGTTTTACATACACACAGAAGCTTCTTACAAAGATGGCATTGAACTATACATGGCATTTTGTAATCTGCTTTTCTTCTCCTCATGATAGGTTGTACATAACTCAGTCACTCTGCATACAGTATCCTAAGTGTTGCCCAGTATTTTACATTGTTGGAATGACCCACATTTTATCTAACTAACCCCCCATAATGGACATTCAGGCTGTTTCCATTGTTTTCATAATACAATAACAATTTCAATAAACATCTTTGCATGTAAATCTCTGTATCCATGTGGGAGAATTTCCATGATACATTTCTAAAGGTGGAATTGGTAGGTCAAATGGCAGCCACATTAAAATAATTGGTACATACTGCCAAATTGCCCCCCAAAAGGTGTGACTATGTCAACTTT